GCGCCACCGGCCCCGCTCCGGCCGCTGCCGCCGCCAGTGCCACTGCCGGCGCCCCTGCCGCTGCTGCGGCTGCCGACGCCGCCACCCCCGGAAATGCCACCGCCTGACGCCGCGGATCCGCAAGAGCCGGTTTTGGCAGCAGCCTGCTTCTGTGTGCCAGCAGCGCCTGCAGCGGTCCTGCTGCCCGTCACTGCAGAAGACTGATGTTGCAGTGCTGTCCCGCCTGCGCTGGCTCGAGGCTGCTGCTGCTGCTGCTGCTGCTGCTGCTGCCGCCGTTGGGCCGCTGCTCTACTGGTCAGGGATTTTTCCGCAACTTGGGCTGAATTGACTGCGCTACGCTGCACCTGTCCTGGCAGTCTGGTGGCTGCCGTATCAGTGCTGCTGGCTTCAGCCTCAGACGATTCTCGCGCAGGCGCCTGCGCCGGAGCCGCCTGCACAGGCAGCGGCTGGGCCTGCTGCGCTGCCGGCACAAAGTCAACGCCTGCTACCGACATTACCGGATCTAGCAGTTTGCGCTTGTGACTCCGCATTGGTGCTATTGAGCCTGTGAAAAGTGGGGGGTTGTCCATGCAAGGCTTCTCATGCGAGGCACATGTTTTGCTGCAATATGGGCAGCACTGTGCACGTCAGAAGCGCTAGCGGGGGTGTCGAACACCAGCAAGAGTGGGCGCTCATTGGCTGCATGGGCGCCCCCTGCTGAGCTCATTACCGGCCCACCTGCATCTGCGACTACGCACAGGGCAAGAAGTGTCAGCCTAAACCACATATTGTCACGCACCGCGACGATCAGAGGACTTTACACGTAGATGCGGAGCGTTGATCGCTTCGTGGCTGATTGTCAGCCGGACATCGTAATTAACTACATAATGATGAACCTTGATGCATCAGGTTCAGGCGGTGTGGCAAAGCTCCCGGACCGCCGGGTCCTACAGTGGGCCCGTCCAAGAGTCAACTCAACATGACCACGTGTTGACCGAGACTGCCCTGCTGATCAGGTGCGTTTGGCTGCTCACCAAGATATGGCGGCACATACATCACACTCTGCGTACGTTCATACTATCCGTCCGGTGAAAAGTCAGTGCGCGATGGCAGATGAGCTGGAAGCACTGCATTCAGAGGTGACGCAATGCATTCGGTTACAACCGCCCGTGTGTCCATAGGCAAGGCTACCTACCCCTCCAACTCGGCCAGGAACTCGGCCTCGCTGCGCCGCCCGCCGCAAACGTTGCACTCACAAAGGTCGCTCCCAAGCACCGCCGCCATTGTCCCAAAGCATGCCTTGCGTGGGCACATGTACTTGAGCAAGAAAAGCTGCAGGTACGTTGGATCAAGCGGCCCGCGGTCATCGCCGGTGCCGCCGCTGCTGCCGGGCCCAGTCCCTGCTGCTACCTCATGCTGCTGCTGCTGATGATGATAATGTTGCTGCTGTTGCTGCTGCTGCTGCTGGTCTCCCCCACTCGCCGCCGCCTGCCGCTCGTGCTCCATCTCATCAGCCCCATCCTCCTCACCGTCCTCCGTCTCCCACTCGCTACCGCTGCCGCTGCCGCTGCCGCTCTCGCCCGACGCCCCGCCCCACCCGGGCGCTGCCTCCGCCAGGCAGCGTGGGCAGCAGCACTCGAAACCGTACACCTCCCGCGCCTGCCGCCGCCGCTCTCGAAGGTCCCAATTCAGTGGGAAGTAGCTCTGCACGATTTCGGTCCCCTCTGGCAAGTCGTGCATCGCCCGGATGCTCACAGCGGTGCTCAGCGGGTAGCCGCCGCCGCTGCTCAGCACGCCGCCGCCGTCCCCGCCGCCGCCGCCGCCGCTGCTGCTGCTGCTGGCCCCGCCCGCGGGGCCGGCCGCGTCGAAGGCGTCGAAGCGCGCCGCGTTCGGCGCGCACTCGTGATTGATCAGCGAGCACCGCGGGTACACGCCACCGCCGCGCACGCGGCGCTCGCCGGCGGGGCCGGGGGGCGCCATGATGCCGTAGCTGTTCAGCTGCTCCTTGCGCAGCAGCGCGGCCAGCTCCTCTTCCGGGGCACCCAGGCAGGACGGGTCCCCTGCGGCAGAGGGTTCCGGGGGGGCGCATGCGGGTCGGACGGCACGCGTGAACGTTGCAGTCGGCTGCCTCTCATGATGTACGCATGGTTCATATATCGTGCTGTTTCTTAGCGGTGAAAAAAATGTGACTGAGGGTGGGGCACTGCAATGTTCGCGTGTGGAAGGAGGCAGCCGAGGCAAAAGAGCGCAGCGCTGCTAGCGGCGCGGGCCAGCCGCCCGAGCGGCCCAGCAGCTCGAGAGGGCCCGCCTCACCAATGGCTGCTGCTAGGAGGGGCCGCAGCTGCCGCGCCTGCTGCAGGGCTGCGGCGTCCGGGGCGCCGTCCAGCTGGAGGAGCGCGTTGTAGCGGCCGTCTGAGATTCCGCAAGGGGGCCAGTGCATTGTGAGCGCGGCCGCGTACAAACTCCTTGCAGCTTCTCACACCCGCTGCCCTGGTCTCGGGTGCCAGCGCCGTGATGCCTGCGGCTTCGTTGCGGCACATGGCAGGCGTGACGCCAAACAGCCCGCCCCGCCAATCCAAGATCGGACTCATCCATGGGCCCGCACGCCCGGCTGGCGCCCGCACGCACCCGCAGGGCTGTGGGCGGCGAGGGCGCGTAGCGCCATTGCTTGGATTAGGAAGCGCAGAGCAGTGCGGCCCTCATCGTCAAGCGGCGCGGCCGCCAGCGACGAGTACGCCCTGAGGGCGGGGCAGGGGGCTCACGCGGCGTTGACCATGCGGATGTGCCCCTGGAAGAGGTGCGCCGCAGGCGCCGCTTGGGCCCGCCGGAGTCCGGGGGCGCCGCGCGTGCTCAGCAAGTTTATGGTGCTGCGTGATGGGCTAGCACTGATTGCATTGCGTGGCTGCGAGCGAGTGTAGGCGGCTCCTCGTATGCGGCGTGAGCGGGCATGGTCAACCCTTCGCACCTGCAAGTCGCATCGGCATGCACCCAGGGCTTGGACGCAGCTAGCGCCGCGCACTCTGGAGAGCAGAACACCACCTGATGGCATTTCTGGCATGGAGCGCCTGCGGATCGCCGAAACGGGCGTCGGCTTGGGCATGCGGCCAAAGGGAAGGCGGCGGCTGCAGGAGCGGCGGAGCAGCGGCGAGAATGGGCGCACCTGAGCTCAGCAGCCGCAAGCAATGCGCGCATGCATAATCCTTTGCGTCTTGCGCGATCGTAAGCAGCAGTGGCTCTTCGCTGAGAATGGTTTCGCCCGCTTTGATCGTGCGCGCTGCCACGAGACCCCGGCCGCGCCGCTCGAGGTCCTTGACAACATACATGGTGGAAGTGTATATGAGGATTATGCTGCAAACAGCACAACAGCTATGAGACCGGCTTGTGGGTCTGTCACCCTACACAGGCGCAGTGACGCCGCCGCTGGGATGCAACAAACCCAGGTGCTGCGCCACTGCCAGTCAGCGGCCCACCCAAGCAACCGCACATGTTGCACACGTTGCAAACGCACTGCATACATTTGGTGATGAGAGGGTTTTGGATGATGCACCGGTGTCAGAAAAAAAGGTTACAACTGCCCTGATTGTGAAAATGTGCGGATGCACCTGGACTGCGTGATGCCCACGCCGAGCCCCAGCTCAACTGCGCCACCACCAACGCCCCTCAAGGCGTCGAGGGAACGTCCACCCCGTCTTTGCCACCACCAACGCCACCGCCAGCGGCACCAGGGCCGCCGCTGCCGCCGCCTTCATCAACTGTCCCGCCGCCGCCCATGTCAGTCCATCGGGACCCCGCCCCGCCCTGCCGCGCCGCCGCGCCGTCCCCGCCGCCGCCAGCGCCACTGACGCCGGCGTCGCTGCTGCGCCGCTGCCGCGACGCTGGTGGCGACCCGGGCGGCGGCCGCGGGGGCGGCACGCCGGCCGCCGCGCTGCTGGTGCGATCCCTGAGGGCGTCGCGGGCGCCTGCGGCCGCTGCCGCATACACGACAGGGTCGTACTGTGCTGCGACATACGGCATCTGATAGACTGCTGGATATTGCGCCCCATAAGGCATGGCCCATGGGGGCACCACCTGCACCACGGGGTATGCGGCGCCCGCCGACCACCCCTGCTGCCACCCCTGCTGCCACTGCGCCTGCTGGTGCGGCAACTGCTTCTGCTCCCACTGCTGCTGGTGCCAGTGCTGCGCCCCCTGCTGCTGCCATTGCTGCTGCTGCCACTGCTGCGCCCCTTGCTGCTGCCCCTGCTGCCACTGCAGCTGTGCCTGCTGCTGCGCCTGCTGCCGCTGCGACTGCGTGTTGTAATTCTGCCACGGCTGCTGAGCCACCTGAGACACTGCATTCCGGCCGCCGGTCGGCTTTGGTACTGCAGCCGCCGGCGTCTCGCCGCTGCTGGTGCGGCTGGCCGTCCTGCTGGGCCCCTCCTTGCTCGCGTCACCGCTGGGGCCAGCCTGTTGCACGCCTGCCAGTACCTGCGCCACCTCTTCCGCCCCCTCCGCCTTCGCCCCCTCCTCCTTGCCCTGTTGACTCTCCAACTTGCAGCCGTCCACGCAGCCACTGCCGACCTCCGCGACCGGCTGCCCTGGCAGGCCCCGCTGCAGCGCCTGCTCCTCCTGCGAGTGTGACTGCTGCTGCTGCTGCTGCTGCTGCTGCTGCTGCTGCTCCTCGTCCTGGTGGCCAGCACGGGTGGCGCCATCCTGCACTGCATCGTCCGGCCCCCGATCGTGCCCCTGGCTCTGCTCCTGCCCCTGGCCCCGCTCCGCCCCCTGCGCTTCGCCAAGCACACGGTGCACGCCTGCCTCCTCCTCCTGCTGCTGCTGCTCCCCCTGTCCCGCCGCCGCCTGCACCTCCTGCTGCTCTTCGTGCTCATGATCCCGTCCCTCGTCCCCCCACGACTGCCTCCAGAACTCCAGGTGCGCCGCCCGCAGCTCCAGCACCTCTTCGCCGCTCAGCACCAGCCGCCGCCAGCCGCCGCCCGCGCTGCTGCCAGACGCTGCGTCGTCCGTGGCCACCCCCGCTGCCGCGGCCGCGGCGGCCCCAGGACCGCGCGGCGGAGGGGGCTGCCGCTGTTGCTCCCGAGGCGTCTGCGCGGCGGCGGCAACGGCAGTGGCGGCGCCGGCGCCGCGCTTGGGCTTGGGGGGCCGCACGGGCGACGGGGACGGCTGGGGCTGGGCGGCGGCGCCGCTGCTCCCCGAGGCGCTCCTGCTGATGCCCAGGCTGAGGCCCTTGCTAGAGGCCACCAGCACGCGCACACCGCCAC